ACTGCTGATTCATTTCCTCTTTTCTAAACCGTAACTTTAAAAGAAATAGGAAGCTTAAACAGGCTGACTGATTGGGACTCCATCAGTATGTGTCTAATGCATTTTATTCTCAAATTTGGAGGGGCTGGGGGACAGGGAGAAATAGGGGGGAATGGAATACCTTCCCCATTGTTTAGAGTTCCTGGCATGGAGGAAATGATCAATGTTTGTTTCAAAACACTGCCTGAACTGGTGTGTTGGTGGTCTCTCATATACTAATAATACTGTCTCGTTATTTTTTTATTTTTTGTGGCAAATGAGTTTAAGTGCAAAAAAAAGGGGGGGTCGAATTTGAGTGTATTAAAATGTGCAATTGCAGAGGTATGACCCATTTATGTAACTGCCTTTTAAAAATGCTTTTGAGTTCTTTATATCGCCCTGTGCCTCACTGCTCTAGCTGGGCAACTTTGACTGTGTGTCTGTGTGTAGTCAAGAGGTTAGCAAAGGAGGGGAAATTAAAACAATGTTGTACGTTATATAGTTACCAGCCATTGAAAAACCTATTTTGTATGCAAGGCAGCAATGTAGAGATATATGGAAAGCCTCGGGCTAAGTACAGAAGATAATTACATTTGGAATTTTACTGAGTTAAGTCATTTATAGCTTCAAATAGTTGTAGAGAAAAATCAGCAAAAACACACTTAAACTTTTTTGTTGTTACTTTTCAAGATAACCATTTTTTAAAAAATCCCTTTTATCTTCTTATCTTACAAATTAGCATTTTTCTTTCATAGATATTCCTAAATTTTACTTTCAGTAACACTGCAGTCAAGACAGTCTTCCACTATTAGCTGAAGTGATATAAACTATTTTAATACAAGTTTTATAAAAATCAAACTACTAGTCGTAAAATAGCAGAGTCTTGCAGAAATGGCTGTGAGAAATGGTTTGTTACAGTAACAAGTTTCCTGGGTATTAAAAAAAATAAAAATCTACAGTCTTACTTGTGGACTGAGATATAAGATAATCTTTCACCAAGGAGCAGTAACAGTCATGCTGTAGGTAAACCTAGGTTGGGTTATAGCCTGAAAAACATTATAGGCTCTGTTGTATTAATTTAGATTAATGACTGGGTTATGTTAACACCTGTAGCCCACTTATTCCATCCAAATGAATACAACAGCTCAGTCCTGTGGTCAACAGGAGTTTGTATTGCCTAGGGGACAGTAGGATGAAGAGTTGAACAAGGTATAGGTGGTTTTTGATTACTAGTGCTTTATAATCATGTGACAATATTGTGGTAGATTGATCGGCATGACATAATACTAATCATCGTCAGGGCTTGAGTCATGCTGAAATGCTCCAGACCACCACTCTGGCACTCTTTCTGGGAGCGGAAATGGTACCCTTCCAGTACGATCACTAACTGGAAGTGGATTCTGGCACTTCTTTTTTAGTTACAGGAGCACTGATCATAATGAGTGAATGATGATCCGAGGTATGATAGTGTTGGAAGAGACCTCTTAGCTCCCAGTCCATTCTCTGAAAGGGCAGGATATAGTCCCTGATAGGATACATCTCCCATATTTAAATGATATTACGCTTGATCTTAGCTAAAAGTTCATTGTTTTGTTATAGACCCATAAGCAATAGATATGATGCATTAGGGTCTTGTGGATCAGGCATTTGCGCTTGCATCTTGAAAACAGAGTGAAACTGAGACCAGAAGAGAAACGACCCTTAGATGTTAGTGTAGCAAAGACAATATTCATGGGCATAGACTAAACCTATTCCTCAAGTAGTGACTTCTATTACCATCAGTGATGGGATTAGAGAGAGAAGTACTAGTCATTTTTGCAAAACATATTGGGTCAAAGCTATAAAGAGTAGGAGTTATCAGTGGTTTGAGTCTTAAAAGAAAATCCAGTCAGGAGGAGGGCGCTGTCATATGAGCTGCTACAGTGACTGTTTGCTACCAAACGATTCCCTTACACAGAGTAATCAGGGAGTTCCTCCAGCAACTCGTTAATCTAGGTTTGGGCTGTTCTGTAAAAAGCCTTAACGGAATAGAGGGCTGGCCCAACAGTACCATTTGCAATGTAGTCACCTAGCCCACTAGAATTTGGACAGTCAGACTAAGCTCATGTTTTACATGGCCATCAAACGACTATGAAGCAGTAACAAAACTCAGCCAGTACTGCCATGTATGGATTTGAGCTCTGTGACCTAGAGAGGGAAGGCAGGGTGTCCCGTTACCAAACCAGTTGACCCCATTGGTACTCAAAGTGCTAGAGTGCAACTTTGCCAAGAAATGGGCTTGTAGAGTGACACAAAATGATGAGGGTTTGGCAATGAGCCAAATTCTGCCCTGACTTCTGCCCCATACTACCTTACTGGAGAGAGGGTAGGATTTGACCTACTGTGTTGCAGTGTCTGAACCTAGGGGAAATTATGTCGCATAATCATATTGCAACTTCCTCATGCTTTTAATGGAAACTTGCCCATAGGATACCACGGCATGATACTACTTTTGGTTTGTGGCTCTCTGAGATGCCATTCGATGCAGAATATCCTCCGAGTCCCTCTTGCACAGGTGGTGGGTATATCTACCCGACGTATCCCTTTTCTCGTCCACGCTCCAGATGTGGCTCCTTGTAGGGAGAGGCAGTATCACTGTATCATCATGATAATACTGTTTCTTGTTTCTGTGGGGGGTGGGACCCAAATCAACTGACCATATGCTCAGCTCTTCTGACACTTGCCTCACACTCCTGCGATCATCCATCTGCTTGCTCGCCCTGAAACAGCCTGAGCAAGTGGAGCACTGCTCCATTTCTGCAAACTCTTGAGGAGCCACATGTGTGCTGTAGATTAAGTACTACCCTCCCATCTGATGTCATCCGGCGGTGCCCCTTCATTGAAGCGTCTTGGGAATCTGAATTGTGATTTTGTACTTTTCTGACTGCATCCATTAAATTTCTTGACTGTCTCATCAGGAATAGCTCTTCTAAATTATTTTTCCTAGAATTAATTTTGTAACTGAGCTTTAAGGCTAAGTATTATATTTGGTTTGAGTGTAATGGATCCAAATTTGATTTTCTCTCTCGATTTCACTCTTACTATTGTTAATCTTATGTATAATATTCTGTCAACATACACATACAGAGATATCCAGTGCAGCTTAAACAAAGTGAGGGTTCTTGCTTTTTTGACGAATGTTCAAACTAACTAACTATCAAGTCAGATTTGTATTTGGACAGAAATATCATGAATCTTTGGTCTCACAGTATCTCCATCACAAACATACTTGAAATACCACAAGCTGCAAAGTCTTCTGGTATTTTTACATGATTGAAACCGTGTGGACATGATCACCATTCATTAGGGGAACTGCAGAGAAAGAATTGAGTAGCTGGGAATGAAGGAAGAGTAAGAGATTAAGGTATAAATACAAGCAAGCTACATGCCATTCTGTTTAGCTAGGCCTCAGTTGAAGAAGTGCATTCATTTTGGGGCACCAGATTAGATTCAAAGAGTTTGGAGGAGAGCAAGAAAAATGACGATAGGTTAGTGGCTTATTATCTAAAATCCTTGTCCCTATTTTCAAGACCCTCTCTCCTCCCCTTTACCACCCCACCCTGTGCACCTAGTCTTCCTCTTCATCTCCCATTTCCCATGCTCATGGCACTTTCTCCTGGGCTGGCCTCTCTGTGCCTGGCACAGTGTCCATATCCTGATCAGCAGTGTGTCCTCTTTCCGCCCTCCCTCTCCTGAAGTGTCCAGTGACCTGTCTGTGTGCGTTTGTCTTAGATTTTAACCACTTCACAGCAGGGTGGTATGTTGGTTGTTTTATCTAGGTTTATAAGGTGCTGTATAAACCTACAGCGCTACGTATGTGTTTGCAATAATAATTGGCAGGAGAAGTTTTAATTTAAAGCAGCACTTGAGCACCACGGTGAGCGGCACCTTATAAAATCTAATAGAAATACTAGCTAATACTTCAGAATTAGAAGATTAAGGGAACTTTGTGAAGCCACTGCCCTTGCAGGTACTCAGAGCTAGATTGGACACTTACCTGTTAGGGATGGTTTGGAGCTATTGAACTCAAGCCTTGTCTTACACTGCCACTTCACAGCGCTGCAACCTTCTCGCTCAGGGGTGTGAAAAAACACCCCCCTGAGCGCTGCAAGTTTCAGCGCTGTAAAATGGCGGTGTTGACAGTGCACCCACACTGGTAGCTACTCCCCTCGTGGGGGTGGGTTTTTTTACAGCACTGGGAGAGCTCTCTCCTAGCGCGGGTGCCATGACCACACAGCCACGTGGGTTAAAACACTGCCGCTGCAGGGCTTTAACGTTGCTAGTGAAGACATGCCTTCAGTCTTGCCCCAGTGTAGAGAAGTGCCAGATGATCCCTTGAAGTCTAAATGATTTTATAGCATTGCAGACAGGAACAATGAGATGGACATAGGGGAAAAGAGTGAGTGTTGGGGCAGGGGAGGCACTATTTTGGGAGTTGACCTGTACCCCTGCGTTATGAGGGTGGATTCCTTCTCCCCACCTTCCTCTATCAGAGTAATCTGGTTTAGTGCTGAAGTCAGGGGAGTGGATCTTACCCCCTACACATTTGGAATATGCATTTAAATGCACCTTCAGTCAAGTGCTACTGAGAAGCTAATGTACAGCAGGGCACTTTGGATGACGATTGCACAGTTTGACAGAGCGAATGTATTCATCTCCTGTCACAGGAGATCATCAGGGAAACAAACAATGCTTATAAGTAGCTTTGAAAAGTCAGAATAGGGCCCATTTAAAAGTAATGCTGATCAGTTTATTTTCTGTGCATAACAATTCTTTCCCAAAGAATGCTGTTAGTAATCAAGTGCATTTTCCTGCAAAAACCACTGATAGTCCCCTTTTCCAGACCTTTAAAGCCCTAGTCAATGCCTCACTGATGAGAGCTTCCTCACATCAGTGGCCTAACAAGCCCTCATGACTTCTTTTGAATGATCTAACTGAATGGTGGGGTGGTACTAATGGAGTTATGGTCTTGTATCCTCCTGCTTCCTGACCTAATGGAAAGCAGTTTAAAGAAATTCTTGGGATTTTTCACTTCCATTTGCTGCTGTGAAAGCGAGAGACTTCTATTTTTCATCATTTAAACTCCTGCCTTAACTGTAGGAGCATTCAAATTCCCAGACTATGACAAAATATTAGTATGTGTCTGCCTGAAATGTCAAGAAGATCTTTAACAGAATTCATCCACCAAATACTGCATTAAAAGCATGCTAAGAAGGTGACGGAGAACAATAAAAATAAGGACCTTTCCAGATCAGAATGAAAGGTACTGTGCCATGGGGGACAATGGGATGCAGAAAGAATCTAGTTTGGGTTTCCCCCTTGTGCTAGGTGTTAGAAAACTGCACATTCTTTGCTTTCACTGCCATGTCGCACACAGACAGTTTTCAGGTCTTGATTTTGATGGGAATATTTATTTTATTTTGTTTCTAAAATAACGATCTGCTGCAATGTTTAGTCCACTGAGTGAAGATTAGTGTGCAGACTAAACTGCAGGCAGCTCACATGCCCAGCTAATCAAAAAATAAAATGATTCAGAATGGAAAATCACACAGCCACCCTTCATTGAGACTAAAAGCATTCATTGGTTTGATATGATTTGATATACATTAATGTAAATGATGGGTCGGACCCCCACTTCCTCTGAAAAGACCACAGGAAGACATCGGGAGGATTTTCCACTAGACCAGGAGGGTGAGATTGGCTCCCTACCTCTCGTTGGAACATCCAGGGGATTTGGCTGCTAGATCTCAAAGGATCTGCTATAGACACAGGAGTCTCTTTGTACCTCCTTCGGGCCTTGTCGTTCTCCCTTTCTGTCATTGGCTGTCACAAAGAGGACTTGTGCACAAAAGTTTTTTTCCCATCACAAGCCCTCAGATGTGGTGGGGTCATTGAAAACAGGCCCAGGCTCTCTGGGATATTGAATTTCCATGTTAAAGCCTAGCTGCTGAGACTGCTGGAAAGGGTATCATAGGTGAAGGTTGTTTTTCAATATGGGCTCTTGTCCGCTGTGACCTGAACTGAAACCTCAAGTCTTGCCCCTCAGGCTGGAGAACCTCCTTCAGAAGGTAACAGTGTTTGCCTACAACCTATCAACAATCAGATTTGTACTGCTTGACCCAGTGTTGTAAGATTCCATATATCAAACGCCAATCCTCTGAGCTACCCAGTGCTGTGCAAAAAAACAAAAAGTCATGAAAATCCCAGTGACTTTTGTGTTCTAAAAGCGCAAAACCAGACGGTTACGTTGAATTTTCTCCTGTAAATTCCTCTTTGAAACCTTATATGCCAAGATTCAAGCCACCATGACATTTTGGCACACAGTTAGAAACCCCTCCCCTTAGGCAGATTGGTACACCCTTAACTGTAATGTAGTGAATGGGGATTTATGGCTGAGTTTTCTTGTACGTTCATTTAACCCAGTTTTACTACTCTAAATAGATGACTCTGATAAGGAGGGCGGGTTTATTAAACTTTCCCTGGAATGTGATTAGCTTTCTCCTCTTGGCACCAGGAATTTGGATTTTCTAGAGCAAAAGTCAGTCTTAATAATGAATATGTGAGAAAACTCTCAGTTTCGTGGGCCTGATCTAAATGTCTTTGAAGAAAATAGGAATTCGTTTATTGGGCATGTGTAGTAATTACAGCCCCTTTTACTTCTATTCTTAGTATTAGTATATGTTACTTTTGTTATTATGTAGAGCAGCGTTTCCCAAACTTGCGACAACGCTTGTGCGGGGAAGGCCCCTGGGGGGCCCGGCCGGTTTGTTTACATGCCGTGACCGCAGGTTCGGCCGATCGCGGCTCGCACTGGCCGCGGTTCGCTGTCCCCGGCCAATGGGGGCTGCGGGAAGCGGCGCAGGCCGAGGGACGTGCTGACCACCGCTTTCCCTGCACAAGCAGCGTCCCAAGTTTGGGAAACACTGATGTAGAGTATAGTTGGGAAAAGATACTTTTTACACATAGAGCTTTTGAGGTCCCCCAAAACAGCAAGCTTACAGTCTGATCATTGCATTCTAAATGTATTCACAAACCAGCTTGTATACAAAGAAAAAACTTAATCAAGGCAGTATAACGTGAGAGTCCAAGCAACCAAACTGTGACTTGCGTGGAGATTTCAGTAGAAAATTTAAAGAAAACTGAAGCATATCATTATAGGGGGGGCACGTGTTTACACATGATGTGCAGAATAGAACTGTTTTCCCCAATGCTCACAACCGGTGTCATGACTGAATCAGAAAGAGCAAAAGAAGCATTCCTAAAGCGTTATGTGTTCTGGATTGGTTTGAACAGTATTCAGTTGACACTAAGGGACAGAACACTATTAAAATAGTTCCTAATATAGTTGCACTTTCCTAGCCTGTTGGTTCAAGACATGTGCTAAGGGGATGCCATTTTAAATTTCTGCCCTGAGTTAATACTGTCCTTGCTCCAGTTTTTACCCCACCTTCCAGAAGCAGTATGGCCTGGTGGATACAATTCTGGACTGGAACTCGGGAGCCCTGGGTTCTTCTCCTAGCTCTGCTACTGGTCTGGTGGGTGACCTTGGGCAAGTCACATCCCCCCCCCCCCCGTGCCTCAGTTTACTCATCTGTCAAATGGGGAAAATGATACTGACCTCCTTGGCTAAGCACTTGGAGACCTTACTGATGAAATGTGCTCTATAAGAGCTATATACTATTATTATAAGGGAGTAGTAAGTCACTCTGATTTTACGAAATGTTTGTCTTCATTAAATAAGCACACTACTTTTTAGAGCTTAAGCTGCCTGTTCTGATTCTCTGAGGCAGCCTCACGTGGTTTCACGACTCCTGCTGCTTTGCTTGCTCCACGCACCGCCTGAGCTGTATGTGACAGAAAAGCTCTTTTCTGTTTTCTGGTTTTGTTTTTTGTTTTGTTTTTTGGTGGTGGTGGGGGAAGCAAGTTATGTTAAAGCAAGAAAATATTTGAATTTGAGGTTTAGATGTATAATTTGCTTTTTGCTTTGCCTTCTGAGCGTGAATAGGATTGGTTAATAAACTTGATTCACTATTGTCTTCTAGCTGTCAGGGCTGCAGTGACCCCCTTGGTGCCAGCAGGTCTAGCACTCCTCACTCAAGGGCTAATGTGTTTTGCTTTGGAAAATACTGACACCCAGCACCATGAGTTAGTTCGACTTCAGAAAAGACCGTATACAATTTCCAAACTACCAAGCAATAAACCTGTTTTGTCATGTCTGTGGTGCCAGCTGTTGAATTAGGAATAAGCAGAATTCTGGATTTTATTCATGGAAGTAACAGAGCATTTTTTTCTTCAGCTTGCAAAAGACAAAGAGCGCCTGCAAGCTATGATGACACACCTGCATGTGAAGTCAACTGAACCAAAAGCCACCCCTCAGCCTGTAAGTACTGTTCTGTGCAGAAACAGAACAAAGCCTCACAACAACCTCTTCTTCCTGTTTCCCACCTCAGAGCATAATACAAAGTGTGGCCTACTTTAAAAGACTGTCAAAATGAAGAGACAAAAATTGCATCGCTAGTTGGTCGGCTTTGAATATTCACTGCCACATAAACCCAATTTTCCCATGATCTTTTTTCTTCAAGGGGTTTAAAACTAGTCTTAACTTTAAATGTCACATTGGGCCTTTTTCTACCCTTATGTATATGCATATAAATCCCCTCTAGGTAAGTTGAATTTGCATGTGACCCAAAGGAGCATTTGGACCAGAATGGTTTTAGTGCTCAAGGTAAAATTATATTGTATTTAGGATATTAATTTCACTTTTTACTGTGATCCTATCCTAGGCTCAGATACTGTAGACTCTAGTTGCATGTACGTTTCAATGATGATAATAAACAACAAAATCAGGATCACTCAGTGTCAGTTGTTAAAGTACTTACAGTCCATGAAAACCCTATTTATCCAACTTGCTCTCAGAAATAGTTCGTGAAAGGGATAAACTTTACAGGCTGCACTTTATAAAATGTTGGTCTTACAGGTAAAGAGAGTCCAATAGTCAAAGCCAACTGGTGGTACCTGTAAAAGGCAAATCTAGCACCTTGTTCCCTGAAGCAAATTGCACTTCAGTTGTTGTTTTTTCATATCAGCATAATGCTAAAAAATCTTCCTCATAACTTCACATGATTATTCAAAATGGGGAGAGTGCTTTGCTTCTTGATTTTAAGATTTGTAAGATTTAAAGGTACACTGCCTTTATTTGATTTTGCTTTTTGTCATTGTGTGAAAATTAATTGAGCGTCGACAATCTATAGTTAGTACTAGCCATTTTAATCAATATGCAATGATGCAGCGTAATGGCCAAGTATTGGTTTATCTGTTTTGACTGATTTTATTTTTCTATAAATAAAACAAACACACACCCATCCACGTTTATGATTTATGGTGATAGAAATAAAAAGGAGTCAGACTATTAACCCAGCAAATATGGTCGCCTGCCAAGATGCAGTTGGTAGACAAAATTAATGTCTGAAACAGAACACATTACAGAGATAGAGAACATAAAATCATTAAACACTTTGCACATCCATTTTTACTAGAGAAGAATTTCTCAGTTTCCATGTAGTTGGAAATAAATGGCTGCAGAAGTGGATAGAGAGGTACTAGAAAGAAAATTGCAGAGTATTCAATAGCATAGGAGCAGGAGTCCAACTCAATTTCAGCAATGCCTTTTGGAGGAAGATTGAGGGTGGTGAATATAGCCCTTCCAGAGATTTCTAAAATTGCTTAATCCAATGGATCTGGATGATCACAAAAAGAAACTACTTAAAGTACCTGGAAATAACTCTTCCTATCCTTCAGATCTCATTAGACTGAATGTGCATGCTTTACTATGTTGTGGACTAGAGACCCAGCAGAATGCAGAGAAGGGGGTTTGGTTTCTATCCATCCTACTGGATTAAAAATTAAGAGTGGAATAATCGCTGGAGTCTCAAAGCATTCTGCTGAGAGACTTTTCATAGCAACAGTGCCCCTCTGGAGGAAGGATTAAAAACTAAAGGGAGGTAATCGCAAGAAGACAAGTGCTGTGCAGCTAGTGATCAGCGCTCAGTATCAAGAGGCAGTAAGCTTTCATTTGTGTTGTAGGCTACAAAGGTACCAGTTGGTGTCGCCATGCAGATTAGTGTTAAGCAGGCAATAAACAGGGAAAAGCAGCAGAAAAAAAAAAAAAACAATGGGGAAAAATGGGCTGTCTTGATTAGTATTAAAAAAATGTTTTACATTCTGGAAAATTATAGCTTTGATGGGGACCTCCCACTAAATTTATTTTTAACTGCTCTATTGAAAATTCTGTACCACTAGTCAACATTATCTCTCCGTTGCTCAGCACAGTGTTTCTTTATTAAAAGAAATAGGCATGAATATTTTTGACTGAAAAATTAATAGCTTTTGAATTCATACACAGCAGGTTTTCTTTTGCAAAGAAGTCCAATATCGCTGCACAGCACTTCTATAACCATTTATTTAGAGTCCAAGTCAAACCTTTGACAGCTAGAGCAGTGTTACAAGCCAACATAAAGAACTCCAAGATGTAAACCAACAATAGGCAGTCTGTGTGAGGTTTGCCATTGTCAAATACATAGATTGTTTGGATTAGTTTATGTAAATGTACTGTTGTATTACCCTTTGAAAAAAAAATCACATTTGTGTATGAAAAGTGGTTTCGTTCACAGGCAGCATTATAAATTCCTTATCCTTTAACTTACATGTTAGAAGTAAAAATTGGTGCCTGACAGGCCTATATTGTGTGACACTCTGTTGTTGGATTGAAACTGTCTTCTTTTCATTTATTGAAATATAGAAAAATTTATTATAGATACCATCTGATAAATCAGAAATTGTTAAAATATGTATAGGTGAAGCATTTTGAAAATTAATTATAAAACGTAGCAGAATAGTGTTTTGCATAAATTGTGCTTTCCTTGTGAAAAAAAATACACAGGCATCACAGAGACTGTGCTAGACCTCGGTCCTTTTAACTCAGTGGGGTAGGACTTCGGTAAAAAAGATCTGATGACCATTACTGCAGTGCAAAGTATTTTTTACATCCAGTAATTAATTTTATTCCCCCACCATAACTAATGCAAGGTGTATGTTCAGATTAATATATGTTTGGTACATCTGTGATTTTAAAGGAGTCGCTACCGATCCAAACATAGCAATAAACTGGGATTTGAAATTACAACTTTTTAATGACTGCATGGAAAGCTTATGGGAAGTATTTTTTGTCTATTTAAAAGCTCTTAATGCTTATTTTTAAACAGTTCTTAACTAGATGGCAAAACGGAGAGCAAACCATTATACTGCAAGGCTCTTAAAACTGAATGCTCTTTGGCTGCCATTTGTGTTCCACACTGGCCAATGTTGTAATCTTGCCCTTTTTAGCTATAGCACATCAATTAGTACAGTATTTTTGGACTGTTCAGACCCCAGTCCAACTCTGTGCATTCAACGTAACCCTGTTAAACAGCGACTTGTCAGGTCTAGCCATGTTAAGGAACGTGTGTCAGTCTTTAGATTGCTTTAGCACCTTGGAATAATTGATATCTTGGAAGACAGTGGCATGATCATGTGGGGTTTTTTTAGCTGTAACAAATCACCAAGGTCCTAATTCAGCAAAGCACTTCAGTCATATTAAAGTCAGTGTGCTTAAGTCCTGTGCTAAATCGTGACCCAAACTGAAGGCAGACAGTTGTACATGCAGCACATTCCTCTGGAGCAGCCTTCATTGGGTGTGCTATACACTGCGAGAAATACACATTCTTCTGGGCCCTACTGCTGGGAGGACTTATGGGGAGAAAGCTAGGGTTGGAGGCAAAGAGAGGGAGGGGAGATACAGAGACTTGTAATAGTAATAATCAATACACTGTTTAAAGGTGTCTAATTGTGACTTTATAATTGAGATGCCCAAGTGTGTAACATTTTGAAAAGAAAAGTAGTACTTCATAGGTTACTGCTTAAAGAACATGAGATAACTCCCATTGCTGAGATTTAAATAGTTCAAAATGAATTCAGTTGACCTGGGGGAATATGCTGTGATGTATTGTATAGAGGTGGAGATTTTTGGAGTGTTTAAAAAAACAACTACCACAACAGCTATTAAGAATTTTTTATTCTAGTTTTGCTGTTAAGGTCACCATTTTCATTCATGTCGGAGGTCAGCATAATAGAATAAATCAGAAGCTTGATCTGCTTTGCGGTATTAACTAAACATCAAAGAGCCACTACCTAGGCAGGAGGGAAAAAAACTGTGTTCTTTTTATTCTGGCCAACAAGACGTTCTATGCACTAGGTAGGACATCCATCTTTAAGAAACTGACATAAAATTTTTAAAGAAACTGTTGGCATTTGAAATGAAATGCACTGCTAGATATTCCTTTTTAATAATATTTTCTTTTACTCTAACCATAGCAGTTGCAATTGTTTTTAAATACTGTTTTTAGCAACTGTGAAAACAAATTATTGCAATAAAATAGCCTTTTAACTGTTTAGGTAATGACTGAGCATTTTAGCTGCTGTAGCTGTACTTATAGTTTGAAAAATAATGATATGCAGCAATAAAAAGAGATTCTCAAGTACAACACACAAAAGCTGTTTTTATATACTGTTTTTCATTAAGTCCCACTCCTCAACTTGGGTTTCCTTAGTATCCCTGCCAATAACAACACCTGCTAAGCGATTGTTGCCTGCCAGATCCTACATCTAATACAGTAATCTGTCCAGGCTGAAATAGTACAGGAAGACACAGAATTTAACAAAGCTTGATGCTCTGCACCCCCACTTCCCTCCACCTTCAGCAGTCTCTGCACCAGGGTGATTAAAGTCCAGAAACTCTGTGCAGTTATTTCATCAATTTCAGCTGTGATCAGAGTGGCAGCACCAACAACAGAAAAATCAATGCCCTAAAGCAGTAGGTACGGCCCCATTGTGACACTTTCTTTTTTTTTCTTTTAAAATGTTTCAGATTCTTTATTTGCAGCCACTGTTGTTATGTAATCTGTTTACATGGAGAGAAATCAAAGTGAGTCTTAATGGGAGAGCTACTTAATAGAAATCTATTTTTATGGGGTGAAGGAGAGGGTTACCTCTCTGGCTTGTTTATATATATAATATGAATTCTTGTTGAGTCAGTCAGCATCTTTAAAAGGGAGAAAAAAAGCTATTTCTTGACAGTAAAGGTTAATAATAATAAAAAGCCAGGCAGAATACTGGACACTGACACAATGATGGCCTTTATGATGATTAGATTAGAGAGGTGTGAGATACCCGTATTGTAAAACCCTTCAGTAGTGGAATTTGCAAAACTACAGGCCTTTAAAACAGATATTACAAAAACAGAAACTCTAGGGAGAAATACTCCCTTATTACAAGGGTTATTACTGAATGGCTTAACTCTTTGGGGCAGGGACTGTGTTTGATGTTCTTGGACAGCGCCTAGCAGGTTATGTGCCCAATTGTAAATGCAAAGAACAGTACTCATTAAAGAAGCCAGCTTGGTGACTAGCATTCAGTACCCTGCAGCAAAAATGATACCTCGTCAAAAAATGGCAGTATGTGGGAATCTTGTCGTATCCAATCTTGGCATGAACAACTTTTTCTAATCAGAGCAAGTTGTTTTTAAATAGAAAGCGCAAACAGAGGAATTCCATAGAGTTTCCATCAGGAAAAGAAATCCTCCCACTACAATCCCTTCCTGATCTTTGCCCTGCATAATCATCTTTAGCAGCCAGAAGCACAGAGCTTAGACACGTCTTCATTCCTAATTGATGATGATGATGATATTAAGATTTAATCATTTACAATAAAGATAAATATTTTAAGATTACAACAAAATCAACACCATTCATAATTTGTTATTTTGCTCTAATACACAATTAATTTTTAAGTCTACATTTTATAGAAAACAATGAAAGCAGCATGTTGAGCATTAAAAATGTAGATGGTTGAGCATATTCTTCCCTTTGCCTCATTACATGCTTTTGTCACCATAACCAGTAAGGCTCAGGCCCCTCCAAAAGCAAGAGATAGTGTCATCAAACAAAATCTAAAGTAAAACTTCTCTGGCAATTGACAAGGTCGGCGTTTCATTAGCTTGTTGGTTCAGTCATACAAATGGCAGTCCGAGGTGAAACACACTATGCGCACAGTGTTCCAGCTTTTTGTTCTTTCTTTCCTCACAGACTGCAGTCATGTTTAATTTGGAAACCGGGCTCCTTTGGCAAATTAGCAATTAGAACAATTTTGTGGGAATATGTATATGTGTCATTAGTTTTCCTGCAAATTAATAGCAGGAGCAGAGGTCAGGCAGAAATTTTCCACTTGACTGCAGCTTCTCTGTTGAGATTTGGCACTTTGTTTTGGAACAGCCACAGCTGCTCAAAGCCACAGTCTTCCTTTAGGAACTGTCTTTTAATTAGTTTACCTCATAGCCATTATTACAAATATTACTGCCTCCCCTCCTTGAAATAAAATTACTGTTTCTACAAAATATTCCAGTGACATCTTGCACCACTGCACATTGATGGTGGGGTCATTCGAATGCAGTGTTTAATCATTAGATCACCTCCATAAGCATCTCCTAATTAGAGTCCGTACAATACAATTTTATCTGGTAATTAGCTGAGATTGGCTGCTTCCTCTGTAGCTTATTAGTGGCAGCCCAGCAGTGGGTGTGAATCACAGTGTCATTTGTCAACCCCGTTAAAGCCCCTCTCTTTGCTCTTCCTCTCTTTCTGTATTTATTTCTAGTCGCTACCTACGCTGGAAGCGTAAAGAAATTAAACTCAATTCACATTTTTTAAGCAGAGAACATTGACCTTTGCAGAGTCTGTCTTTGCAGTTTTCTGGTAGAAACAGATTAAATGTTAAGTTTTTAAACAATTAAAAGGAATCTAATTCTTTCAAAATGGAGTAGTTTGGGCAGTAAAGATGAAACAGTATCAGTGATCTTTCCAACAGAAGAGAATGTCTCCTGAGCATGTGCTGTAGAGGGGCACTTAAAATTGATGCAGATTTCCTTGCAGTTATTGGACTGTTAAAATGTCCATTTAGAAACTGAGATTAAATACGGTAGATGGTATTTCATGGTGAGACCTGTCAGTTGTACTATTATGGTCATTATTACTCCTTTTATTATATGTAATAGATGGATAACAAGGGGACATAGCTATATGTGTACCCCTATCCAGTATACTTAAATCTAAGCAGGCCACAAAATGACTTGGTTTCACTCTCACACTATATTGTATAAAGAAAAGGAGTACTTGTGGCACCTTAGAGACTAACCAATTTATTTGAGCATAAGCTTTCGTGAGCTTCAGCTCACTTCATCGGATGCATTCAGTGGATGAAGTGAGCTGTAGCTCACGAAAGCTTATGCTCAAATAAATTGGTTCGTCTCTAAGGTGCCACAAGTACTCCTTTTTGCGAATACAGACTAACACAGCTGCTACTCTGAAACCTGTTATATTGTATAAGTAATATTTAAAAACATGAACCACACCCTTTTAAATACTAACATAGCAGGTACTTTGAGCTGTATTTATTGGTTCACTTCATTGCATGACTCTTCAAGAACTCAGGACATATATTTTATTGCCTTTTCTAGTCTCCTTCGTCCTCTCCCCCACCGGGATCATATAATCCTGCATTTCCTTGAAGTGTTAAATATTTTCCATTCTGAGAAGAGACTTTCTAGCTTCATGAAGAGATGTGTGTTTTCAGATCTGCTTCTCACAAACTCATTTGTTTGGATCAGTACTTGAACTGACAGTATATACAGTTCCATCTACATAACACTTCCCTGTGTTATGCTGTTGGGGCAAACATTTCCTTGAGCTCTCTGTACTTCACATTCAAAACAGAGACGCAGGAACAGTTTATTTTGTTCACTTGAACCCTTCTTGTGGGTTATTGGCGTATTGTGTTGATATCCGTTCTATAACATTAGAAAGCTTTTTTTCCCCTCCAAGTTTGTTTTGGACAAATTCTGTTATTTATTTTTTATAAGAGAGCAATTACTGGTAGCTACTAATGTTTGAGACATGCTAATGTGAGTGTTCTTATCTCGTTACTTTCATGTCAAGAACAATAGTAAGGAGTCCTATGGATGTTTTGGGGCATGTCTTTACAAGAACGGCCATACTGGCTCAGACCAAAGGTCCATCTAGCCCAATATCCTGTCTTCCGACAGCAGCCAATGCCAGGCGCATGCCTCAGCTTCATTTGGCAGTGTTTAATGTCAGGCAAAGAATATTAATTGCAAATAAACAGAGTGAAATCCTGGCCCCTTTGAAATAAATGGGATTTTGCCATTGATTTCACTGGCGCCAGCATTTCACCCAGAATATTGTTCACAATAATGCTTCAAGGCAAGTAATGTGGAAGTACTGGAAGGAGCCCTTTTCTCAGGCCCCCTTTCTGATGGAGCAGTTTGGGATCATATTGTTTATTTAAAGTACTTCAAGAATGACCCATTACAATGAAGCATCTTGTTTTGAATGGTGCCCAAAGAAAGGGTTCATGATACACATGCACACTGATAAAATAAATAGAAGTGCATGTTTAAAACATTTATATATGGTTATCCGTTCTTGGGGAAGTCACATTTTAAAGCCTGCTTGTGGCTAGCTGTCATTTTATTACATGCTTGTAAGTTTCTGCAGGTAGCACAATTGCATTCCACACCAAGGAGAGAAAAGAACTGTGTCATTTTTTGCTGGGCTTAATGACTGCAGTATTTCATGCAGTGTGATTAATTAAATTATTCCGGAGTTAACCCATTCTGGGATTTGCGTTTAAAATGGATGAATGGAAAAAGCCCAAACGTTGTACTGATCTTCCATTTCTTCCTAGTGCATTCCTAACAAAGCATTGTCTTTATTTAAAACCTGATGTGTTTGAAGAAATATCCAAAAACAGATCAGTTGAAGAATATTAACCCGTAAATAAGAGATGTGTGGGCTTTAGATGCAAAACAATGGAACAAAAATAAAATATTAAAATGAATATATACAATGAGGTGTTTGAAAATTGTGGATTTTTGTCCTAAATCTTCAAAGCTTGAGAGCAAGCATTTTTGTATACTGGGTTACGATATTTTTTTTTAAATATATCATATAGACATTTATGCATTCATCCTCCTGTCGTGGATTTTAAAGGAGGTGTTACAGCAAAAAAAGTATTTAAGATACATTCTCTCCATTTAATGGTCGCAAACACTATTAAATCTGGAAACGATTTTCATAATCCTTAATTTGCAAGAAACATAATTTCTAATAAAGTTTTCCTCACCCTCTTTTCTCTCCCCCTCAACAGCTGAATCTGGTATCAAGTGTTACACTGTCAAAGACTGCCTCTGAGGCTTCTCCACAGAGCTTACCTCATACTCCGACCACCCCAACTACACCCATCACTCCTGTCATCCAGGGACCTTCTGTCATCACTACCACCAGCATGCACAACGTTGAACCAATCAGGAGGCGGTGTCCTAATAAATACAATGTGGCCATTTCTTCAGGTAAATGACTGTCGATGGCAAAGGCCATTATTTGTTTTCTCTTGGAAATTGCAAAGGAGGCTTTGATTCTGATATTAACAGAACAATTGTTCTTATTTAGCAGATCTTGCTCAGAACCAAGAATTTTATAAGAACGCAGAGGTTAGACCACCATTCACGTATGCATCTTTAATTAGGCAGGTAAGTAATGTTCTCGAAAACCACATTTCACTCAAAAATTGTCTCTATATGTCCACCCTATAGATTAAATAGATTTAGAACCCTTTAATATGCAGGCATGCTCAAACCTTTTCTATAAGGGTTTTGAGAACTGCAATATATAACATAATTGCTTTTGATTAAGTATTACAATACGATGTGATTATTAGGAAATTCATTTCACACAACAGTGAAAATGAGCCTGTTTAAAGATGGCAAGTCAATTATCACAAGCTACAGTAATCTCTGATCCCTAGAATTAATCTGAGCTCTAAATAATTACTGAGCTTTAATCAGCTAGTGAAATGTTTTGCATTTCTCTTTGATTCTGCTTTATGAATGACTAATAAATTAATATTTCTGTAAGGAAACAGAAATAAAAACTCAAAACAATTAGATAATTCCATTCTGAATCTTGCCATTGAACTGTTAAATACAGCCATTAATCTTAGAACACATTGTGAAACTCTCCTCTGGATTTTAGCTCCAAATCTCTCTTTTTTTTTTAATCCGTTAAGGTAAAAGTGTAGGTGTGTTTGCTGAGAGTTTTGTCTTAAATCATCATGCATTTTATTTGCTTCACAAGGCCATCCTCGAATCTCCAGAAAAGCAACTAACACTAAATGAAATCTACAACTGGTTCACACGAATGTTTGCTTACTTCAGACGCAATGCAGCGACATGGAAGGTAAGGTTTGCACCATGTATGCCTCTTGCCTTTGATATTAGACATGTACAGAACAGACATTGCTGATGACATAACAAATTGTAACGGCATATGGACATTAAAATGTAGATAGGCTGTTTTGACACACACAGGGTGTCTTATCCGCAGGAACAATTTGATATTTGGCAGAAAAATTCTTCTGCCTTTGAAAACCACTAATTGAATCCCCATTATTGGCTTTTATGTTCTGTGATTATGCCACCAGTTGATCTGTGTGGCTTCTCCTAGAAGTGAAAGTCTAGCTTTTCAGCAGGAACGTGTAGGAAAAAAGTGTGAAGATATTGTGTCAGTTACAGGATGTATAGTTGGTCTTGTTAGTTACACAGCTCTTCATTTTTCTAGTTGTGTGACCACAACAGCCATCTTTTCTGGGGATGTATAGACAAGTTATTTCTCAGTCACTTAGTACCTCACTAAATTAACCTTCAAACTTGTTATAACCTTCACTGGTTTATTATGGCACCAAATATAAATTAATTTGGCATAATACTAAAGCAGCAAGCCAAGAAAAAAACATTTAATCTAACAGATACAAGAAACTAAAAATTGAATGCCTTAAATTCTTACAGTAGGGTTCTGTGGTTCAGTTAGGTGTTTTTTATATAGTTTCCATTTTCACGGCTACCCCTTTCCCTTGTGTGAGCTGTTATCATAGCAACTTAACCACAGTAGCCTCTAGAGCTAGTGTGATTACTACTGGATGACTCAAATAACAGGATCTTACACTGAAGTAAAAATTATATCTCGGTGCTTGTAGTCTCTGTTGGTCCAGGTAACCCAGTAGTTCTTGAACAAATTGCCTCCATTTATCAGCAGGTCTGATAAATGTCCCCTATACCTGCTGTTTTCTTTCATTTCTTCTCCCTTTGCCTTTCTTATTCTAAAACTCAGGACAGTTCCTTCAAAGGATGGAGTTAGAGAGGTCTTCTGCTTCAGTAGTTCGTTGGAAAGTTTATTGTATTTCACGTGTGTGCTCCTCAGTGTTCCATTGCCTTTCATTCAAATGCCTTGGGGCAAATTTGTAAATTTCAGTACCACCTATCACACCTCAGTCATCTGTACCTAGGAAATGCTCTGAGATTGGTGCTTTGATTTCTGCACCTTAGTTGAATAAGTTGAGCAGTGTTTCATCTGCAGCTTCCTAAGTATTAAAAAAGGAAATGAATTTTCCTGAATTAAAGTTCTTTTCAAGGGCGTTTTGACAACGTTGTTATAGAAAAACAGTTTGGTGTCAGAACGCTTTTAGTGGTGTACACTTCTTTAAATATTACAGAACCAGCGTGTTCCTGATTTTAAAATGAAGTGTACACATTTGGATATATACGTTATATTCATATGTAAAGTGGAACCTTCTTATAGTCAACCTGTTCTAGACATGAAAAAACTTCTTTACAACTGAGTTCTGCTATCCAGAGCTTGCTTTTTTAAAAGCTCTAGTTTTCAGTTGTCTTTTAGTCCGTTGAGCAAGGTTCTTCTTCACACACCTATCTCAAACACCCCCCATCTTCTGTGGCTATGGCAGCCCTACAAGAGATACGTTTGTCTCCTGCTGCTTGAGTGACTCCAGCGGGACTTTTCCATAGCTGCAGGAGAAAGGGCTCTAGCAAGAATCCTCTTTGATTCTTGCCTGCAGCTATGAGGGCGGCACCTGGCTAGTCATCTCAACAGTGAACATGGCCACTTTTTGGAACTGGTTTTGTGCAGTATATAAGATCCGCTCTAGAGGCTCACAAAAGTCTCGGGCAGTGAGAGTCATGCTTGCAGCTCATGGAGTATGCGGGAACCTGATGACAAAAGAGGAGCCTATGGCAGAGGAGGCAGAGAGATATCTTACTGGAGACTCCCACAGCTACAAAGGAGAAAAGGTGCATCCCAGGGAGACCTTTGTCCTTGTGAGCACACCAGGGACCCCCTAATACTAGGTGTTAAGTGTGCGCTCTTACAAAGTATGAACAGTAGGTTCCATCGCTACTGGCAAAATGGATGTCCACTTGAAGTAATTTGGGGCCTTCGTGCTGATGGCTGCTCAGATTAATGCCAGCCTTCAATGACCGCAGGCGGCTGAAAACACAGCCCAGGACTGATTTGACGTGAAGCTGCTCGGGTTCTTCACAAGCCCAAAGGTCTGACTGAAGAATCAGCATAAATCTGAATTTGTGCTTTTGTGGTTCAGGCCCATCTTCAGTAAATGCTCAAATATCACTCTGGCCAGCTTCTTCAATATTAGTCACTGTGTAGGGTAAGGATCTGGAGTGGGTGAGTACACCTGAGATCTTCTTAAAAAACAAAACAAAACAGGAAAAAAGAACTTATAAATGAAACACTTCGCCAAATGCAGTACAGCAGCATCTGAGCAGTTATTAAAAGAACAAACCCTTTCATTTAATACATTCAAGCATGTTCAGGGTAATTTTTTCTGAAAAAGTGGCTTGCATACAAATGTTTTTTAACAAGGTAAATATATAATCTTACAATAATAGTGCCTCATTTTTCTGTTAAGCAGAGCGCTAGAAGAACATTCTCAACTGGTTCTGACAGGTCAGAGGCAATGTCTGTTTGTTTGCTTGGTTGTTTTTTGGACTAGTAATCTGCTGGAACTGAATTGTAGCTAGGAGGCAGAAGATGCAGGTGTGGCTTTGAAATGTTGGGGGTATTATCCAGATAAAACTGTTAACTAGAAAGAATCCAGAAGCAGGAAAACCAAAAACAACCATCCTCTATAAACTCACTAATCAGGTGGTCATATATAAACATGGAAAGCTAAGACATCTTTCCCCAAACACTGTACAACTATTTGATTTATCTGTGTAAGTATATTCAGTCAAAGCCAGATCCAGTCCTCCTAAAAGTCAATGGCAGGACTCCCATTGGCTTCACTACAGCAGGATCAGATCACAAATGATTTTTCCAGCATTACACTTATTTAAAGAAGAATGCAGATAATTCTGTTCAATTGTTTATACAGAGACTGTTTACAAACTCAACACATCCATTTTTCTGAATTTTTCTGTCTGCATTTTATCAATTGCTATATTAGGCTACAGTATTGCATTTCACTATGGGGAATATTTGTAACCGTTTGCAAAACTGATCCAAAATCTATCATCATTATTTTACATTCTGTTACAAACTTGAAAATGTTCCCATTTGCACCTGAAACTTTGCTTGGGTTACACAGATTTAAACCCCTGTCCTGTGTCAGGTTCCCTTAGCAGGCCACTCTGCCAATCAGTAGGACTCTGTTTGCTGATCCCAGTGTAGGAGCAGGGAGTCTGACTGAGTGCAGATGAAGTCAGCCTGGTTTCTATTGAAAAGCATGAGAAAAATGTGCATTTTCACATGTTTTCAATGTCGAAAAGAGCCATTGTGCCCAACATTATACACACAATGAAATGGGGAGGGTACAAAAAGTTAGACCCCAAACAAATATTGACAGGTTTCAGAGTAGCAGCCGTGTTAGTCTGTATTCGCAAAACGAAGAGGAGGACTTGTGGCAGCTTAGAGACTAGCAAATTTATTTGAGCATAAGCTTTCATGAGCTACAGCTCACCTCATCGGATGAAGTTAGTCTCTAAGGTGCCACAAGTACTCCTCTTCTTCAAACAAATATTGTGACTTTCTCAGAGATTCAGCATCACCCCCTGCCTTGTTCAGAAGAAAAAGTCATCCAAGACTGATTTCCCCATGAGCTCACAAACAGATCAGTGTGGTGACAAAGTAGAGAAGCTTAAGAAGTATGTGGACTTAGCACTGCGGAAATGTGACATGCCCCTTAAGCACGGGGTCGAGTACGTAAGGCAATATTCACATTGTGCTGACCTGTTAAGAAGAGAGTCCATATGCTGGATCGTTGCTATTGTGTGTGGATAGGTTATGGGGAGATGCTAGCTACACAGCGAAACTGCCTAGCAAAAGTAACAAAAGGCTCCCAGATGCACACACACTGCCTCTTAATTTACATGACAAATGCACTCTGCATAACCTTTGTTTGCACAGTGATTTAGACATTCCTGATTAGAACTCCTTTCATCATCCAGACCTGATGTTCCTAAACAACGTGTTTAGTCTCCTGGTTGCCTCGACTCATGCCTATGTGTTTGGCAGAGTGCCTGCTAACAAGTCAACCAGATTGACTAAATCAGTGATGCCAAGGCTGATGGATTTAGTTTCTTTGCCTGCATGTTTCCAGCAAATGGAAACCACTCCCCTTCTTCTGGTTACTGATTCTCTTTCAGTGGCAATGCCGTGGCACTAGAGAACAAGCTTCATTGCAAATCTGAGTGGCTTTACCGCTGTGTAGTTGCTCACAAAACTGGGGGTGGCACACACTTGCTAATGAACAAGGTATTCAGTGCCCTTTCAGGCAGAGCAAAGACATAAAAGACACAGTTGATTGTGTCTGCATGAGAAGTGTCTTACTGAGTCAGGCTTCGGCCAAAGTCAGAAGATGTAAGCGATCTGCTGAGTCCATCCTGCAGAAGGACTGGATTACATCCAACAGAATTGGGTCTGACCATCAGAAACCTTCATTTGGGATTGCCCAATAAAGGAGCCTAGCAACTATAAGGAAAAAAACATGTGTGTCTACTTGTGGAGAGATTATCACTTTGTTTCTGAGAGCCCTCCTCAGGCGTGTACTTGGCAGAAGCTCAGTTCAATCAGTACAGTATCCTGCCAGAAATGAGAGCCAACTTCCATATATGAGCATGCAGTGGAAGACATGACTTGGTGCACTGTGCTCCTCACTAGGGTGCTGCTAACCCTCTGAGCCCCTATTCCATACACTTGGTGTGAAAAGAGGTTCAGCACCTGATTCACATTAGTCCAGCTGTGGGAAACCCCAGAAACCCCAGCCCCAATGCCTCTTTGCCAAATTGAGTCCTCTGTAGTTACATGAAATTCTCTCTCTGGTCTTTTAAACTGTTTTATTTTTCCAGGAGTGGATACGTTTCCGTTACAAACTGTGTACTTGTTTTGAAAATATCTTAGCAATGTTACTGTAACTGTATATGAAATATGCTGTTACCTGATGTGTGTACATAAAATGATGGAGGTTCTCATTCCCACTGTGAATAATTGACATGACAAAATAACTTGAATTCCTAATCTCAGGTTTGAGATTTTATTTTTATCTTTGCAAAATAAGATCTTAAACGTGTAAAGATCTGGTTTGTTGGGAAAGGAGGGTGAGGGTTGGGTGCGGGGAGCGGAGTTATCTTTGCAAATAAGGACTGTCAAGCTGACTATGCTGCTGTTCTTGGACAATGATGAGTATTTTCTCATAGAAAGTTTTTGAATGTTTTCTCTTTTATACTTGCTGCAGAATGCAGTGCGTCATAATCTTAGTCTTCACAAGTGTTTTGTGCGAGTAGAAAACGTTAAAGGGGCAGTATGGACAGTGGATGAACTAGAGTTCCAAAAACGAAGGCCACAAAAGATCAGTGGGTATGTCCACCATGTTTGAACTTCTTAGCCTAGCTTGGATCATGCTTACAGTTTAACGTAGAGGCTTTTGGCTGCTAGATGGTGTTAGACCAACACAGGTGGTTTCACATTGTTTCAGTTAAGGGAAACAAAGAAAAGCATCTCATCACTACTGTTTGTATGCCCACCAGTTCCCTTGCCCCTGCTTGCTTGGTGTTTGTTGCATCACATGCTAGTAGCTTTTAGGTGGCAATGCATATTAACCCTCACAAACCATTTGCTTATGCTTATTGCATTTTATTTTCTTTTTTCCTTTTCCCTGTATTTGATGTCTGTTCTGTCCCCAATCCCGTGTCCCTTTGTTTCCACTTCATCTCCTTTGCTGCTGCTCTTGTCCCAGGGTGCCATTCGCACCAACCTCTCACTGCATAAGTGCTTTATCAGAGTAGAGGATGAGTTTGGGTCCTTTTGGACTGTTGATGATGAAGAGTTTAAACGTGGCCGTCATATTCAACGAGGCCGTCCTCGAAAATTCTGCCCTGATGAAAACTTTGGCGAGCTTGTTGCACAGTAAGAGCTTTTACTTGCTTTTATTTTTTTTCTGCTGTTGCTTTGCTTTGCATGATCTACCCATCTCATGTAGACTTGCATTTCATGAAACTGTGACCTCACCTTTGTTGCAAAAGAAACTAAATGTTGTGGGTTTATATATGTGTTGCACTTGTTCCTGCCCTAATAATGCAATTGCCTATGATAATGCTTCTTTGACATTTGTTGTAATTTTGTTTATAATGCAATGTAGACTAAAAGGTACTGCTCCTAGAGCAGATACACTGTACAGTTGATTATCAAGAAGGTTTTTAGGTAAACTAGATTTAGATTGTTTCCTGTTAGATTCAGTCATATGCTTTGTTTCACAATTCTTAGCACAGAAATACAAGTTGATATTCCTCAAATGAATAGCTGAAATGCCCCAAAGCGTTTTGACAATGATTACTACAGTTGGACCTGTAGTAAAGATTACAAACAACAAACCACTCTCTTTCTGAAATGATCTCTTTAAAATATCCTGAAAGTTCCAAGGCAATTTTGTTTCCCCTTTAGTTGAAGACCACCTGTCCAGGGCAATTGATTTTTGCTGGTCTCAAGGGTGGTCAGTTTAAGACAGTTATCGCTGTGTTCTGTTTCAAAACAGAAACAAAATTGTATTGTGGATGAGGTACGTTTTTGGGGTTTTCTGCTCTGAACCTTCCCTGGCTTGTACTTTCAGCAAGATTTTTCAAAAGTGATCTTGGGGGTGTGGGTTTTGTGTCTCCAGCCGAGACAGGGTGCTCAGCACGTTCTGTAAATCAGGCCCCTTTTATAAACCTTGGCTACAAAGGTACTGTGGGTATTCTAAAATAATGGTTCAAAAAACCACAGTGGGATACTTTTTTATGAGTGCTCCCTGACTCAGAGTGGCATCTTTTAATGTTCCCTACCACTTCATTCGAGTGCCATAATATCTGCTGTTCCACCTCCCCTCCATCGCCCACAACAAAAATGCTTTGGGCTATAGGATAGCCAAGCACTCGACTGTGCTGTCGGAGATTTGTCCAGCAGGAAACAATACAACTCTGAAAGCAAGAATTCTGAAGTTCCTACTTATCAAAATTCTACTGTGCAGCTATGGATGACAGTGATGCCAGCTACTACATAAGTCAGCCAGTGTACGAGTTAAGAGTCCCTAATGCTTTTAATGGGGATCTTATTATGGACCTTTATGTAGTAACTGACTTTTGGATAGGAAGAATTTTGGAAAAATTCTGTAGGGTACACAGCTAAGTAGAAAACCAATGCCAATATATACTATTTCAACAGGGCATTAGAACATGAGATGCTGTAGCTGTTAGAGACTTCAGTAGTGGTCTTCCATATTTAATAAAGGCAAATGCAAATATGGTAGCCATACAACTGAAGTATAAAAGTTTAAAAAACAGAAGAGAACTTTTCCGGCAAACAGCGCAGTCTGTAGATTTCTGGTGTGGGAGGAAACATAACATGATGGAACACCCTAAGATGAGTAGTTTGCACTTACCTCTACTTTTTATGTTTTTCTTATGCAGTAACCCTTCTCTTATTAAAAACATACAGACCAGCCACACCTACTGCACACCTCTCAATGCTGCTTTACAGGTAAGATTAATGACTGTAGCAAATACGCAACAGAGGCATGTGTCTTCCCCACTCATTTCAAAATATATTAGCCTTGCTCTAATTAGATATTAAATTTTAATTCCGTTAAACTTTTTTCTTAAGTGCATAAAGCATCATCGTCCCTGGAGGCAAACACATATCAGGCTGCTTCAGCATTAGCTAGATGCTTAGCATTTTGAATATTGTGGCAAAAAAATTAAAAGTTCACTTATTAATATTTATCAGCAGTATCATAATTTCCATCCTCTTATTTCAGAATTTCACTTGAGGCAAAAATACCACAAGTGTAATTACTCTAGCACAGCTATTAATGTGCTGAATGATAGGATACTGTGTCACATGACCTTCTATTGTTCATGGCTTTAAAGGGAAAGCAGATCATTTCTCCCCCCGACCCCCACCTTCTTTTAAGGACTATTTTTTTCATATTTTTCTGTTGTTGTTAAATAACAAAGGTCTAGTTCACTTTGTAAAGAAGAAGAGAGATGTCAGAAATTATAAAGAATATTTAGATATTTCAAATACAGCAATGATGTGCAATATATATGTATATAAGCATATGTGCACAATATAAATTTGTGTGTGTATCTGAAACATCTTTTGTGTGTTACACAAAAGAAATACGTTTTCCTCATTCTTTCTCTGTGCAACTTTCTAATAAAATTATTGTGTCTGGCTCAAATGTCCCTGGTGAAGTCAGTATTCATTATAAGAACCACTGACATAAGTGACAAGCATTTTTGTATTTTGCCTACTGATTACTATGTGTTTTCACACCTCTTCCACACTGTTTCCCCAATCACTACAAAGGCCTTACTTAATCTTGCCATGACATCCTCACATGCAGTAGCTAAGTTCTGCAAGGTAGCCAATGATTGCACGACAGAGCTCCAAACATCCATAGAAAGCCTTCCCAAGACATTCATCAAAGGTTAAACTTAGTGCAGTGGATTATATGTCATGTTTGGGCAATTGAATGTTGTGGAAGATTTACTAGCTTTGCAATTTAAGCAATTTATTTTTTTTAAAAACCAAGAAAACAGATTAATAGGAGAGAAATGACACTGTGCATTTCTCCTAATTATTTCAGTTAATGCAGTAACTTCTGAAAAGCAAATGAAAACACGTGTAAATGACTCAACTGTAAATACTGTTCATTAGTAACTTATTTTCCCGTGAGCCTTGTGAAGTGTGATTTTTAAAGACTGCTTTGTCTATTGAATAGTGTTAAGATTACAGGCACCTTTTTACATTCATGAGGCTGAAAGGCAAAAATGAAATGGTCCTGCATTCCTTCAGATTCTGTTAACTATGTGACTAATTTCAGTTAATATGCTTATCATACAGAACTGTTCATGTCTTCTTTCTAAAACATGTGGTGGTGGTGTTGTTGTTGACATCTTCCATTCTTGTCTTTTGTGAGACCCTCAAAACTATTTTCATTTTCCAGTTTTTTCTAGGGAGTAACGTGTGTTTGTATTCTCCAATAACACTAGATAAGCCACTCGATTCAGATGAGAATCTGGGCAGGTTTTGCTAAAGCTTTTGAGTTTTGTCAATAAACAGGATCACAAGATAACTTTGTGCTAATTAAATACAAGGTTCTATTAGGGTTAAAATATTCCAGCAGGCTCCTTCCCCCTCCCCCGCCCCCTTGTCAGACAATTTCTAGCTACTAGCAAAAAAACGTACATCTCATGGTCTTCTGCAAAAATTGTGGCGTGTTCTCTACTGTTCAAAAGGACTCTGAGCAGTCACGACAAAGAAAAAAAATCATTGGCTTAACATACTGTTTGATGCATAAGATAACGTGTCAAGTGACATGGTTTGTATAATAAACTTCCTAGTCTATGATACGATTTTCCTGTCTGTGGACATGTTGAGCCAAATTGTCACTTATTGACTAGAAATGTGCCCCCTCTGGCTTTGGGCATATCCTGTAGCATGTGTACACCTGCCCATTGTATGCACTCACAAGTTTGGTGGGCTCCTGTTTTCAGGCCTACAGAAAATCTGATGTTATGTGCCTCAAAAAAATGTCAGGATTTTCTTCTCTCCAGGTGGTAGTGGTGCCTCCTCAGCTGCACCCACACACCTCTGACATTTCTGATATCTGCTTCCCCTCATGGGCAGGGAGAAGAAGCCCTTTTCTCTTCCCCTCTCTGTGCATGGAGGGTATAGGGATTCCAGTTCTCATCCCGGGGGAGACCCAGAAGCATTTTTCCCTGTCCTGGCAGTGTTGGTTGGTCGGTCTCCCAGAAGGTCCAGTGCCTCCACTCTATTTTGCCTGATTAAGCGAAGAGCACTCTTGAAATCTGTGCTCTACCCCAGGCAAAAATGAAGCAACTGCCGTTGCACTCTCCCTGCAGACCTGGTGATGTAAGCTCCTGTGTGAACGAGTAGAGCAGGGTATGAGGCTCAGAAGACTAATGAGTCTGCCCTGGGAAATGTGGAAAACATTAACGTCCCCACTAGGTAACTGTGGTATTTGCTCCCTTTTCACCTCCTAGTGTGAGCAGCACTGAGGGATAAAGTAAGGGCAGATCAAACCTCCTCCCAACACTGGAAGCGGTCCTAACCCTCGTGGCTGGGTTCTGAACAGTTCGGTTAGTATGGCTGGGTTATTTTAAAACGTCACTGTGCCTCTGCCCTTTCTGCTTCCACCTGGGACCAGAAACACCAGTATTTTGAGCACAAATAGAGTGTGTTTTTCCATCGTGGATAAAACCAGGCAACGCCAGTAATCTGCAGAAAGTCTCATCTTCAGAGGTCCCCAGCCTGACCTCCCAGCTAACGGGGTTCAAGAAACTACTAGTTTTTCTGGATAACAAGTCTGACCCACACCTCCGAACTACCCATCGCTCCCTGCTTATGCAGAGAATCAGGCCATTTGCCGAATTGCGGTTTGCAAGAAATAATTATATCAGGTGCATCTTCTGTCCAACCTCTTCCCAAATAAATTGCTCGACTGCAATTACAAGTTATCTCTATGAGGGAAGAGCTTGCCTTTTTATTTTGGAAACTGCAGGAAATGTGAGCCAATCTTTACGTTCCCTTAATCAAAATTAGTTTGCTACATGTTGAATCAAAAAGATAAAAATAATCCTCTTTGTCAGAGTAGCTTTTAGGATCACATGCGATCAGATGTTTAGAGAGGTCAGCCTGGGAGAGAATTAAAAGGGAGATTGTGCTCGTAGCTGGGTCGTTCCCTCATGCACATTTGTGCTTGAACAGGAATAATGGTAGTAAGTGAGGAACATCCCAAGAATCAGCAACAGCAGAGAGCATCAGGTGGGAAGCTCATTTGCATGAACTACCCTCCCCTGAGCAGTCTTGCCTCTTGCAGTTGTGGTGCTGATGGATTCTTTTTGCTTGACTGTAACAGGAAGCTGACCTTTCCGCTGAGTTAGGTTGACCACTGCAGAGCCAGCATCTGTGGCTTTCCATGCTGGCACGTCTCAGAAAGCCATGGACGTTGGTTCACAGATGGATAAAATGATCTTTCGGTTTCAAAGGGTTGCTTCCTTTTAGACACCCCCACCCCCTGGACCAACGAACTAACTCCTCTCACATCAGGACTTGACGGTGCTATATTCCCATCACTACATGATGGGATTATGCTGGCCGAGAAGAGGTTTTAACATGCTGCAAGCCTGACTCACTGACCATAGGACAGCCCTGTCAAAATGATCAAACATGAGCATAAAATAAATACTAGCAACCAGTAAATCTGGAATAAGAAGGAAAATGTTTAACTGTTTATTCCCTTTCTAAAAATACCTGCATTTAGAAGATGACTAAAACATGCCTATTACAGTACTTATCAGAAATAGAATCAGGTCCGAATGGTATCAAATCTACAATACCTAAGATAATATCAGAGTTATCAGAGCAGTAAAAAAATAGAAAACACCATCCTAATTTACCCTGCCTTGTTAAATCTTAGATTTCTCCCACCAATGCAAAAGTAACACAGCAAATATAGGGATGAGTTCATACTTCAGTTATGTTGGTGTGCATCTAGAGTAACTCAGCTGACTTCAGTGATGTTACTCTGCATTTGCGCTGGCAGAACTATGAGAAAAACTTAACCCTCTGTAACTGCTCACACATCACTTCTCACTCATGTCATGAGTAGAACGGAATCCTCAGCCAAATGAGTTTGCTCTAATTGCTTTTTTAACTTTTTTTTTTTTATGAAAGCCTCAAAAATAGTGTATCATGAAAGTAGAAAAGGTAAATTTGCTTTTTCCACAAGCTGTAATATCTAAATGGGGAACAGCAGGAACCATCCTCTCTCGTGCACCAACGATCAGTACAGTTTTGAACTCCTCATGCAAATCGTGACACGTTTCCCCTGGGGGAGTCAGTGCAAGACCTTTTTGAAAACACATTTTTAAAACCGGCAATTTGAATATGTGATTGTGTTGTACAGTGTATAAAAATGTGAGACATCCTTCTTCATACACTTTTGCTATGTCCTTGGCAGGCTTCAATGGCTGATAATAGTATACCTCTATACACTACTGCTTCCATGGGAAATCCCACTCTGGGCAATTTAGCCAATGCTATGAGGGAAGATCTTAATGGTGCAATGGAGCATACGAACAGTAATGAGAGTGACAGTAGTCCAGGACGTTCCCCTATGCAAGCAATGTAAGTACAGCATGTACATGTGTGTTTATTTAGGGATCTGGTCAAATGTAACGATGATGCTCTTCAAAGTTTGTGTCTGAAGTTCCAGTCCTGGGCAGTAAAAGGAAAAGTCTGAGCTTCTGAAAATATTTAGGTTGATTAGAATATAAAAGGGTCATTTGCCAACTTCCACATAAAACCAATCGACTCAATCCAGTCTGACAAGTGCACACAGCTATAAAATTCTTAACTCACTTGCCATTCTCTTTGTTCAATTCCAGACCACAGAGCTACAAAAACACTCTCAGGCAACTTTATGAAAAGTTTTTGTTTCTTTCTACTTCAGACTACCCAGTAAACATGCTTGGCGGGGCAGAGCTGGGGGAATGAGCTTGTTTAGCTGGTTTCTAATAACATTCAGCAAACAACAGTATTGCTGGGCATTAACGATGGCACATGTGAAGGCATGCATGATTTATAGATCGCTCTTAAAATATCAAAAGGAAAATTAATATGAGCATTATAGCAACAGACGGCAATATAACGAGTGCCTATATAACCACATGAAGTAATGGGAGATTGCTGTCCATGCTAAATGTAAATGGCACCGGGCAGAATGCTAGTACAGGAAAGGGTAAGCCAGGAATGGTGTGCTGCCCTTGTGGGTGTGTTCAGTATTCATGGGTGACTGAGTGAGTTTGCAAAGCTGTAAATTCTCCCCTACCCCCCAAATTAAAAACTGGGTAATTGGCAGCTGGAAAGGAAAGCAGACTTTATAAGTCACGTAGTTCTCAAATTTTAAAACCTGTCTATTTGGAGCGGCTGACTACTTCTGTGAGTAAACATAGATGAAATGCAGTCTGCTCTTATCCAAGTGTTCATTAAAATGTACTGTAAAATCATTGACTGAGTTACCAAAGCTCAGAGTAAAAGAAAAAAAATCCAAAACCCCCAAGTAATTTGTAACCTTTTACTTCAAAGTAATTTGAATATGGGATTTACAAAAGTAGGTCTGAATGAAAAAGTAGAAAAACATTAACCTAATACCATCATAGTAATTAGTTATGAAACTAATTAGCATTTAATGGCCAAAAAAAAAAAGTTTCCCACCTGCATAATACGTTGTGGGGGAGCAGGAAAAGGGACAGGAATCGAAAGCTCTGGATACTTTGATATTCCAGCATTTTAAATCAGTGCACAGTCTGCTTTGAAAAATAATCTTTAAAGATGGCAACATTCATTTTTAATTCATAATTAATTTGAACATTGTCTTTCACCATTTACTTCAAAACATTTGAATAATGTGTTTAGCTTTTACAGTGATTGTTTGTGCAGTATTAATTATCTTTCCCAAAGTAGCGTTACGTGACACACTGTTAATGCTATCACAAATGGATTCCTCTTCAGGCAGTTTTAGTCACAATTGGTTATGCTCTGGCCATGCCCATGCAGGGTTTTAGTGGAGGAGGAGGAGAAGATGGAATATTTTTCAAGAATAAGGCCTTCTCCTGGGCTAACATACAGAAATAAATGTTAACAAATTTCTTTTCATCCAGGTATATTTTTTAAGGTACAGGGCTAGTGCAGTTTATGTACTTCTCCTTTCACTTAAGATTTCATTGTTTTTGAAGGGAGTATGGGGCGGGAAGCGTAACTGTAAGTGAAAAGCAGGGTAACACATTTCCTAGAACCATATGCATAGCTGTGATTTTAATGCATTTAGTATCCACTATTTAGTGCTTAGATACCCAGGTGAGATGCACCTCAGAAATAAGAGAGAGAGAGAGAGATTCTCACTGTCCCCATCCACCAGAAAAACCCTTTTTGTGTTGTAATGTGAAAATGATTGTTTCCTGAATGATTCCATATTCTCAAATTAATACTGTGTGTTTTGTACTGAATATTTCCTTTTGTATAACTAAAAATGCAGCAAGGTGTATGCCCTGATAGCAGCTTGTGGGCTTTCCCATTAAACAAGTGTTTTGAAATACTTTGAAAGGCCATGAAGCAGGATGCTGTTCAAACGTCATAGGGTTTACACTGTTTGCTAAATATAATTATATGTCAACATCAGATTTCCAGTGCAGACTATCAGTGTCATAGACAGTTACTCTTTGCAATATCTTATTTCCATTAAGTACACTTTATAATGACATTCTCTATTCTTTTCCAAAACACGCTTCTCTGCCATAATGCAAATTGTTTTTTAACAGTTCCAGTATATTGGAATAAATCAAGCCTTAAACTTTTATCATAAGGTTTAGAAGACCTTGTTAACATGACAACTAAGCAAGTACAACACTTTTGCTGAAGTCTCATTACCATTCATTTCTTTCCTTTTTATGACACATTGAACTACTGCTACTTTTCCCCCCCTCTTTTGAAACACTAGAAAGTAGTCACATAATTACAGCTTGGGGACATAACACTTTCATCCTGATATGCTCCAAAGGTAGCCACAAAGCAAACTATTCCATGCTGTGTGCACCACCAGAACACAGTGGCTTTAAACAACAGTCAGCTTTATTAAAAAGTCCTCTGTTCCCAGAGTGCACAAACAAAAGAATTACTCAAATGTGAAAAGAAGGGAAATCTGTGTTCAGTAAGGTTATTTTTATTGTTAAGGCCCCTTCTGAATCCTTAGACGTTCTAGTAAAATGAAATGTGTTAAAATTCTACTACTAAACAAGAAAAACTTAGATTCCATTTATGAGATGCATTAAATAGGGGTTCAAACTGGTTTGGAAAATTATAAAAATCTCCCCACGTCTGAACACTAATGTCTTTAAACTGAACATGGCTGGTAGTTTTGAGGTGTTTGAATAATAATCACTGGGTTTTCATTTTCACATGCCAGTTTGCTGCTACAACCAAAATACCACACAAGGGGCTGGATTGTGCTTTGTTTTGTTTTCCATGCACATTTTCTGCTTGAAGTTTGGATAGTTCAGATAAACATCCTAATTTGGGGAGATGATTCCTTCAAATGGGACTCACTCCTTTGATATTTACCCCACCTTAAGTACCCGGTGGAAGGCAGAGTATAGAGGCATATTGGAGCTTTGTCTCACTTGGAGTTATTCAGCCCTTTTCATTGGTTTCCATTCTCTTGGCTGTGCATCCCCAGTGCTTTGTTTATTACTTCAGGGGACAAACCCAAACCTCAAAGTGAAACTCAGTCAAAACCACCTGGTTTCACATGCTTTCAAAACAAAACCATGAGCCCTGTCCTGCGGTTGCTTTGGAAAGGTTCAAGAACCTTTTGGAAAAACCTGGATTGCGTTTCGGTTTTGCATTAAAGCAGGTGAGTGTGGCCTGATCTTGGATTTCCTAACAAGGTTTTCAAACATTTCTACAGATTGAAAGGCATATCCTGGGGAAATCCATGGAACCAGTAAGAGGGGGAAGGATAGTCACCCACCATCCATTACTGTAGCCACAAGACTTTAGCAGCCACCATGGCTTTTGTGCAACCTCTTTTTCTGTGTAGTTGTGGCTCCAACCAGCTGGCCACGCCCTAGATCCTTTTCGGTAGTGGCATTAGGCAAGTTATGTATTAACATGCATTGGCATCACCAGCTCTTCCCACCCCCAAATCTCCAAAGCAAAATGGCATGAGTTCTGCTGCATCTAATGCCCTGGGGAGAAACTAAACCAGATTTGGCCCTAAGAAACTATTATGCTGATTGGAAATGAGACCAATCAATTCTATACAAGGGCTGTTAGTTTCTGAGATACTTAACAATTACCCAGGTGCAGCCAGCGTCCACCCTATCTGTTGGCCCATCTTTGTTAGAGCTTGGTGATCGTGCATAAGCCTAATAGATCGGTTAGATGTGCAGGGACTTTAACATGTGAACAATAGCCTTGGAATCTGCACAACCAGGGGAAGAAGCCCTCCCCCCATCACCACTTCAGGTTCATAAAACATCAGCGTGTCCTTACTTTTGAAAAAAACACCTGTATTAATTTTTCAAAAATAACAAAAAACAATTTATTTAAAAACAAAATGGCAGCAATGACACAAACACAATGAGCAAGACTTTTAAATGAAATCAATCATCAATATTACTGCCAGCATTGTAAAGGAATGTAGAGATCTTTTGCTCTGTGTGTGTAGCTGCTATTTTTTTCTTTTCTTTTCAAATTTTCACCCAGAAAAAGCCCAGTGCATGAACATAACACTGGTGTGTTCTAGTTAGAAGTATAATCGATCTCTTTGCGTGTTGACTCAGGTCTCAATCAACAAAGCACTTAGCACATGCTTAACTTTAAACGTGATTATCCCCATTCACTTCAGTGAGACTTCTTATGGGCTTTGCTGGCTCAGGCCCTGATTCCTAACAACTTGTTCTGAGTCTTCTCCATGTGCATTTCTCTGTTCTTCCACAGTTGTGTCAAAACTAAATGATCTGAAAAACCACCGCTCTCCTTGTGATATCTGAGCTCTGCTGAGGTCCTAAATAGAAAAACATCAGGGGCCAGTGTGTGGGGTATTTTCTCTAGTAATTTAGGGATTTCTTTCCTACTGGTCCATCAAATAATGAGTGTGTTGACCTTTTAGGACATAGTGCGAAGTCCATCTGTTTTCATGGATGTTTGCTTTTAGGAGATCCTATTCCCAGGTCCAGAGATCAGTGGCTAATGTTGTGTGTTTCATTATGTATTGCACGTGCCCCCAGAGACTTGCTGATATGGCACATTTTCATAAACTGAAAAAATAAATAAATGTGTTCAATAAGCACTAATATGTCTCTGTGATGGGATCATTTCTCCCTACTGATCCAATGCAGGATGGGATGCAAGGTGCAGCTAATTCCCACATATTGATCTAGTTACTTTTTCAGCTCAAGAAGTTGAAGTGTCGAAGGATTGAAAGGCATTCACAGCTGATACTAGAAATCTGTGTAGTCAGCCAGGTGGATGCTTCCAAACTAGATCCAGTTTCAAACTGAAACCAGTATCTAGAGTATCATGACTTTTGAAGTACAAGTTTACAAGGTGGTTTGCCTGCAAAGATGTCACATAGCTTGAAATATATAAGTTTCTCTTTGGTTTGTTTGCTGGCTGCAGAACATAATTTTCTCATTCAGGAGCTCCCAAAGGGGTCCTGCCTTCTGGTAATGCATGTGAATACACATTGTGGGCTAGTGGATAAAGCACTGGACTGGGACTCAAGAGACCTGAGTTTCATTCCCATCTCTGCTACCATTATTATTCTTTATTTATATTACTGTAGCATCTGAGTCCGAGTCATGAAAAAGGGCCCCATTGTGCTAGGTGCTGTACAAACACAAAGCAAAACGGTGGTCCTGGCTAGGTGACCTAGGACAAATCACTTTGCCTCCGCACGCCTCAGTTTCTCCGTCTGTAAAATGGGGATAACGATACTGAGCTCCTTGGTAAAGCACGTTAAGATCTACTGATCCAAAGCACTATATAAGAGCGTGGTGGTGGTGTTATTACCCACTTGTCTTGTTGCATCAGCTCTTTTTCTTGCACATCCACGCACAACAACTGAGTGTGCAAGATAGGCAATTATGTTCACCACTAGTTCAAAAACTAGGATTCGATCCTTAGTTTGAAAATGTTTTTTCCTGTATTGTGTGCAGGCAAATGAAACAAAAAGCATTTTCATTCCCATCTAGCCAGAATTATAAAGTGAAGGGTAATTATTTTAAACCTTTTATTGTAACCTGATGCTTTGTAAGAATAAGAAAACGTTCTTAACCAGGAATGTTTGCACTTATGATTAAGTCTTTCTTTATATAGCCTACATGAATGGGTTAAATCAGGCTGGCTAGAGATCAACCCAGACTGTGGGAGGTGGATAGCAACTCCACGAGAAATAGAATGGAACTTGAACTCATTAACACTTTATTTTAAGGGATTGCCTGCAATATCAATTATTTAGGAAGCAAACAGGGTCTCCATTGGCGTGTCGTGTTATTAATACTTGATCATGTCAATAAAATCCTACTTTCCTATGAAGTCCCACCAACCAGACCGTATTGACTCACATGGCTGTTTTACATATCAAAAGCTACTGAACAAAAAAAGTAATTTGTATTTGTAAAGGGTTTGTTGTAAATATGATTTACGAACAACATTTTTCAATTGTTATCATACCCGTTTGGAATGACCAACCGACATTCCCCTGCGGGTTATTCATGTGCTATTCTATAATGAGAAATTTGGCAGATCTCATCTCTTTAGTGCATCCTTGTGCCCACCATGAGCTGAGGATCATGTTCTGCCTTGTTTACAGCTGACAGTGTTATTATTCTCGTTAGGGCTCTGCTTTCTTATCATATTGTTGTGTTGAGCGAGCCTTTTCCTCTCCGTTTGTGTTTCCTGGCAGAGCTTTTCTTCCCTTATTGACAGTTTGTAAAAATATGCATTAATTTGGAGTTTAAAGCATGTATCATGGTGTCTCTTTGCTGTGTTTGCTTGAAGTTGATTAATGATAGAACCTCGCTTGGGGTCGTCCTCTGGAGAGTTGGCTCACAGGTTCTGCATGTTAACTAGAAAAGCAGAACACACAGCAAGCGATGATTAGCCCAGCCTCCACCAGCTCAGTGGGTTGACAAACCACTATTTTGCTTTACCATGCTTAATTCGCTTATTTAGCTGAAGATTGTGTTAATCAACTTAATATGTCAGTTGAGAGCATATTCTCTAAATCCTGTGAATAAACCATATACAAGAAGGTGTTCCTCCTAGGATATTTTCCCAGTGAAGCCAAGTAACTGTAGACACATTCTTAGGCATACACTTTTTTGATTGTTTTTTTTCTTTAGCAGCAAACCCAAAAGTTCAGGGCCTGCATTTCATATGTGCTGAGCACCCACAACTCCTGTAGAAGTTAGTCAGAGGTGCCCAGTGCTCAGCATCTCTGGAAATCAGGTCTTCAGTTTCTCAAAAAAATGTCAGTATTGCCAAAGCAGGACAAAGTCATTTTTAAACAGGGAAGTTGCTGATTTACTGTTTTTAATTTTCCTAGGCACCCTGTGCATGTCAAAGAAGAACCGTTGGATCCGGACGAAAACGAAGGCCCGCTATCCTTAGTGACAACAGCCAATCACAGTCCAGATTTTGATCATGACAGAGATTATGAAGATGAACCTGTAAATGAGGACATAGAATGAATATGTCTGACGTCATTATCCTGAGAATGAAGATTGGAAAAACATGTCAAATTTAGCTGCGAAATCTCTCCATTATTGTACAGTCTGGAGGATTTTCAGTACACTTTGACAACTATGAAATATGTTAACTCTTAGTGCCATCAAGTATCCCATTTGGGAGTATTTTTGATTTTTCTACTTTTTGTTGAAAAAAGGAATTTGTACTCTGTGCATTGGATGGACTTGTTTGGTACTTGGGATTTTCCTCTCTTACAGTCAACATCAGTGTTGTAAATTTGCTAAACTGATTCACTTACTCACATTTAGCAGCAGGTTTTGGACTGCAGTCCTGCCAATTTTGGACACTGAGGACATCAAACTCTGAGCATGTACACCTAACTGCAGATCAAGCCTTTGCCCAGATTTTAAGGATTCCAATGGACAAGATATTTGCACAGTACTGCATGTTGGTTATCACTGCCTTTAGTCCTTTTTTTTTTTTTTTTTTTTTTTGCTTCCATTTGGGATGGGGAAGGCATGTGTGTGCGCGCGCGTGTGTGTGTGTGTGTGTGTACTGGCGAGGGGTTACAAGAAATATTATCCCAAACTTTTTAATGTATTGCTTTTATTCCCCCCCTCCCCCCCCACTTCTGCTCTACCATTTTAAGTTCTGACCTCAGGCCACATCTCGGCCCAGGGCCTCTTGAAGGCCTAATGTTTTCTGTACTTTGTGATGAATGTTAATAGGTGTTTTTATTATACGAAGCTGAATGTCATTGAATTGTTTGTAGTTTTTTCCGTCATTCATTCCAGTCTCTTTCAGATGCCACCATGTTTTCTTTAGCTGTGGAAAACATTCCATTTTGGTGTCTGTTTTTTTGAAAAGGTCCCAGATGCTGCACTGTACACACCGAAGGGTCGTCCAACAGAGAGAGAGAGAAAAGAAGTACTGTAAGAATGAGAATGAATGACAGATGAACATAGAAATACTATAGGAAGCAACATAAATTCATTCCACAAAACAGGGTTTTTTTAGTTTTGGTTTTTGATTTTTTTGGCAGCAATGGTGAATATTAGCAAATGCCACAAAATTGAACAGCACAAAGAAACATATGCAGCACCAACAGAATTCACTTCATTAGAGAATGAATACTACAGTGGCAGGCTCTCAGTTGTTTAACATGAGTTTGAATGGGCCAACAAATCTTTCTGGAATATCTAAGATTACCAAGATGGATAGCTATACATTTATTATTATTTTTCATTTGCAAATAGCGGTTGGAAAGATGACTTCATTAAACTGTTGTAATACGTGGTGATGTTTCTCAGCTAAACATCAGTTCAGGATTGCTTGGTGGCATTAATCTGTTTGAATACAAATTAGATTTCAGATTGAGCTTGTTACGGCAGTTAATAAGGACTGAGCCCACTAATGCTAAAGTGTTAATAATTTCAACTTTGCAAATTCTGTACTGCAGTGAAGATTGTTATGCAATATTACACCAGCCAGTATCAAAACCTCACAGTAGAAACCAGTAAATAGCAGGATCGGGGGGAAGGAAATGGCACTGGGGCTTGTTTGGTAGAACTGGCAGTGCTCTTCAAAGCAAACATTACATACAGAAAGCTGTTGTTACAGGTCAGTACACCTCAGTCACCAAACACCTAAACACTTTCATTCTGCAACCACTTTTCTGTCACTCATTTATTTATGTAGGACTGTAGCTTTTTGTTTAATTATTATTATTTCAAAAAAAGCCTTTCTGAGCTTAATTTATATTCTTCTTTGTACCTTTTCCCCCCTAAAATTACCAAAGATATTACACAAAGGTAAATTATGTTCTCTATTATATGCTTTATCTTATGAAGCCAAATATCCTCTTATTGTTGATCAAGGGAGGTTGAAGAATTTAGAGGGAAATGACAAGATATGGGCTATTGCTAACCTGAGAGGGAAACTGCTCCTTTATTCTAGTAAATTTAGATGGCCAAGTAGATGACTGAACCAAAGTTACTTTTTATTCGTATTCCTTTACAGCGACCAAACTGAAATTCTGTAAAGAGAAATCAAGAAGAGCTTTTGAGGCTAAAACTAGGAAACAGTGTTACAGAGGGAGCCGTAAGAAGGGAGCTGGAGAAAGCAAGTGCAGATATTTTGCAGAAAATTGGAGTATCAAATAAAGGAGGCAGTTCAATAGAACGCAAAAGAGAACAGAAAAGCTCCCATAGTTTTACTGGACCACATAATAGTATTCCTAGAATTGAAAAAAAAATAAAATATTTTGGGGTCTTTGTTTTTACAGATTGTATGCCACTTTTGTTTAAGGATTGTGCTAAGATGACTGCTTTAATTTTGGTGTATCTTGGCACATTTGCTGAGTTTTGTTTAGTTTTTGATCAGCGTTTTTCATAAGGAAATAACACTCCTGTCCACACATAAGTTTCGGTACAAGAAATTTTATTGGCAGTTACTTTTCTGAAGCTCAACTCTGCATTCTGTTTTTAAAAGAGAGAAAAGAAAAGGGGAAAAAAAGGGCAGTCTGTGGTCATTTGAAACTTTTTTTTTTTAATTATATCCAGGCAGCTTCATGATGTGCCGGCAGTAGCCAGATGGGGATCATGAGAATTGGTCCCTGTGCTTCTAAACTGAGTGGTTTGCTGGTTAGTTCGGTATTCAAAAGAGGATAAAAATCTGGTAGATTAGTTCATTCTCAGCATGTGTAGCTAGACATGAGTAAAGATAACAGCATGAGAAACTGTTAGTACGCATACCTCAGTTCAAACTGTTAGGGAATGAGTAAATAAAAAATACATTTCACTCAGTTGCACTTAGTTGTATGTCTTGCATGCTTAGTCTAAAGACTGTAGCAAAATAAAGAAAGAAAAAAGAGAAAAAGAAATAAAAATTAGATTTTAACATATCTGGCAGGTGTCACAGCCTTGCAGAAGAACCAACTGAAAATCTCAGGCTTTACATCAAGCAAACTTCACTATGATTTTTACAGTTCTGATTCTGTATCCCTTTGGATATACAGTTGCTTCTTTAGGGTGGGGTTTATTATGTTGTACATATATATCCCAATGTGTCTGTGTGAGCCTTTGTCTTTTTGGGGGGGAGGGAGGGCGAAAAGGGGAAAAGGTCCTTTTTTTTTTTAGATACCATTCCTCAAAAGGAATAAATGCATACCTGTTTGTCAAAACACCTTTTGCTTTTTGTGCAACTGCTTTATATTAACTATACTAAAAAAAAAATAGCTTTGGAAAAAAAAAACCTACTGTATGTAATGGAATTGCAGAATATGCTGCACATGTATTTTATTTAGTTATCCTTGCTTTAAGAATATTGGATGACATTTGCTGACATGTGGGAGAAAATCCCTGACTTTTTTTTTTTTTTTTTTTTTTTTTGCTTTTAAATTGTAACATAGTTGACAGATTTTTTTTTCTCCTGTTATCATTGATCCAAGCCGCTTTTGTACAGTTTGTGTTAAGCTGGGTTTTTTTTTTGTTTGGGTTTTTTTTATACTTTCCCACCCCTTCTGTTACCTTACCACTGCCATTTCTGGCTGTCTTAAACAAAGGTTCGTGCATTTGAAAAGAAAAAAAAAGTTGTTTTAAAAATGTTTTTCTCCTGCTGCAGTAAATATTTTGCATGATGAATTCCAGGGTCACACTTTCAAAGTTTATCAGTGAAGTAGTGATTAATAATGGGGCGTGTCAAACTATTGAACTTTTGTATAAAGAAAAAAAAACTTTACAAGGTGCCAAGATGTAAAGACAATTTGTTACATGTTTTTTTTCTCAAAGAAAAGCGTACATTATGAAAGTAGTACCATGTATCAGGTAAATCGCTGTCAGGAATGAGAGTCAAAGCCTTCCTTGTCCACAAAGAAAAGTTTGTAAATGTAAAACCTGTTAGGTTTCTGCATTTGACTAGAAATGATATGAAAAATCAAGGCTTATGTAGAACAACGGTGACCACAAAATATTACCTTTTTTGATTGTCGCTTATGAGAGTTCAAGTATAATTCCCAGCACTCTTCTTAAACTCATATTTTGAGGGAGAGAATGGGGCAGGGTTTGTGATTCTACAAATACTGCAGATCATTAGATATTTTATATATACGTATGTATAAAAGTTTTTAAAATAATTTTAAACTATTGTAGTTTTCAGATTGCCAAGAAGCTACATTCCTTATAGCGTGAAGAATGTGTTAAACTCTTTTGAAATCCTTTGGTACCTTTGGTTAATGTACTCAGACTGAATTTTTAGATGTTTCAGAAACCACTTAGCATTCTAGTCTTGAGAGTTAAATTTGCAGGTATGACTGCATTTTAATGGACCCAGAGTAGGTAACAAAATATCTTCTACCCATAAGCCTTGATGAAAATGGTACAGTCCAGACTGTTAGCATGGTGCTTCATGTGTATGTGCTGCCAGTAACGAGATTTTTTTTTTGATAAGGCATAAAAGAAACTCATTCCTTACATCAACTGTAATTCCATCATTCCATGTCTGTTGATACAGACAATAAAAAACGTTGTGTAGTCAGTACTAATTACTGACATTATAGCATTCTCAAATGCAATAAAATGCTGGTTGCTCACACTGGTAATACAAGTTGCCATGTCCTAAGTTTTTGTTTTGTTTTTCCCTTTTATTATCTCATGTTAGTTACATTCACTAAGGTCTCCATCCTGCAAATGGATCCCCATGGGCAGGCCCCAGCCCCTCCCCAGAGTCCCCATTAAGTCTATGGAGAGATCCTGTCCAGGTCAGTGGCGCTCTGCATGAGTACAGGAGTCTTCCCAAGTACAGCATGTGGCAGGGTCTGGATCTACATTTAACAGGGGACGCTTCAGCCACGGTGAGCATTGGCCTGGTCCTCCAAAGCTCAGAACATGCTCAACTCCATGTGACCTCATTGGAAGTCACTCTGCACCTCCCAGAACAGGCCCTTAAATGTATCTGTTTGCAAACAGAAGCAGTGGGTTTGACCTTTGTAGTCAATGAGAGTTGAGCAGCGCTCTGGCTTTTATCCTAAAGGCACAGACATGAGTGCTGGGTTAGGGCCCAATCCTGCAAATACTTCCAAGTCCTGGGAACTGTACCGTCGACTTCAGTAGGAACTGCTCAGAGTTGTAATCATACCTAGGTAATAAAGGGTTTAGAGGATCAGGCCAAATCATAATTAATAAAGTTCAAAGCGACTGTGTCATCTTAGACAAACGTTAAAGAAAGGAGCCCACCTCCTTTTCTCTTGAGTAAGCATACGTTTATTTTCTTCAAGTTTTATAAAGAAAAATAAAATGTTTAATAACTAGCATTGGCAGCAGCAAACTAAAGTTTCAGAGGAGAGACTTTCATGAATAATTCATTAAAATTTCACATCTGCAAGATTAGTCATCCAAATAAAATGCTAATGTCAAAAACATGCACCATCTATAATATTCTCATCAAGAAATCTTTTTGCATATAATGATAAATGCTTAAATTAGTACAAATGATTTTATAAAAATATTCCGCCATAGAATTATACCAGATAACTACTTTCAGGGCAAAAAATAAATAAGGTACAAAATAGTGTATCGAAAAGATATTGATTTTGAAACTTTAATCATCTAAATATAGAGAATAAAAATGTTCACAGCAAATGTTAATGTGTATTGCAGTTTTAGAAAACTAGACAAGGCCCCCCTTTTTAAATCAAATTTACTTAGCTTGCTTAAAATCACTGGTAGCGTATCTTAATACAGTTCAATATTAATTAGCCGAGCATGTGTTGTGATGTCATTTACACTTGGCTCAAGTGGGTGGCAAAGAAAGTCAAATCATAATAGACTTTTGCACCCAATTGGCACTCTCTGCACAGGTGATGATGACTATACCAGGTGCAAGGCAGAAGAAAAGGCAGGTATTACATGTTAATTGATCCATATAAACTGAGACCTACTCCTGCTTACTTTGAAGTCAGTGACAAAATGCTCACTTACTGCAGGAGTGCTTGTGTAACTTGCCAGAAGTTTGGATGTCTGTGTATGTAGTGCCCAATTGCAGAGAGCCTGCTACCAGGAATTGAACTGGTCAACTCCCATGGACTTGGTTGGAAGTTGTGAGGGCACTCACAGAATTGGGCCTGCAAATTGGAGCCCGAGCTTACTCCAAAATGAAGTTTTGCCATTGACTTGAGTAGTGGCAGGATCAGGCTCTCAGTCTTCAGTCTAATTTAATGCAGCATTAGCAGCAACTTAAAATGGGGTTCTTTGATACTGAAGCCAAATGTTTAACCGTTACACAGTATTTTGTATTATCCAAGAAATAAACTAATTTCAAGCTCCAGACGCCATACTCTGGCATGTCACAAAATGATTCCCCAATCTGCAATATGGCCACCAGCTACAGCAAGCTCAGAAATGTCTTTTTCCAATCAAAAATATTGATTTTGCCCACTCTGACGCTTCATACAGTACCCAGTAAGAAGTGGGGGGGATATGGTAGATGTCTATAAAGTCATGACTGGTGTGGAGAAAGTAAATAAGGAAGTGTTATTTACTCCTCATAATACAAGAACTAGGGGTCACCAAATGAAATTAATAGCAGGTTTAAAACAAACAAAAGGAAGTATTTTTCACACAACATACAGTCAATCTATGGTACTCCTTGCCAGAGGATGTTGTAAAGGCCAAGACTATAACAGGGTTGAAAAAAGAACTAGATAAGTTGATGAAGGATAGGTCCATCAATGGCTCTTAGCCAGGATGGGCAGGAATGGAGTCCTTAGCCTCTGTTTGCCAGAAGCTGGGAATGGGCGACACTTGATGATTACCTGTTCTGTTCATTCCCTTTGGCATTGGTCACTGTTGGAAGACAGGATACTGGGAAAGATGGACCTTTGGTCTGACCCAGTATGGCCGTTCTTAACCTCCAGGATGAAAATTGAAGTACAGTGTTTAATTTTTCTAGGTTTCTTCTCTACTGAAAAAATAACTACCAGAACATAAAACATTTTAAAAAGAAAATTCAAGGCATAGTCTGAATTAGCAACAGACAAGTAGAGGTCTCCCCATGCACGTTACAGGTGACCTCTACAGAAGGTTAGAATATTGACATTTAACTTAGGATTGTCAACATATACTAGAACACAATCTACACTGTGGAACCACTTTCAGGAATTAACACTGTTGCGCGCTCTCTCTCTCTCTCACAAACACACTCCTCACAACAAAGTGTAATTAGCCCTGCTTGACCTATTAATCAAGCTCAGACTTCAATGATAATGTTAAACATTCATGTAATAGCATGGTAATCAAGGCCATCTTTCATCTTTGTTGCAGTGGAGTTTAATTCTGTCAAATAGAAGTACGCTTCCTTCTGATATTACCAAGTTTGTTGTTACAAACCTCCAATCTCATCTAAAGCAAGTTGGCAAATGTGGACTGAAATGTGGTGTGTTGGTGGGAAATTATACTGTGCGTGTGTGAACGCAATTTCAAATGTAAAATATTTAGGTTGCAAATTGATTGTTGAGGCCCCCGTCCTACAAGGTGACTCTGTATGGAGCCCCACTGACTTCAGTGGGGCATCTGCATAGACATGGGGGTCCACCCATGTGGATTCACTTACAGGATCAGAACCTTGGGAGACTGATTCTGCTAAGCACATTAAGTACGTGCTTAAGGCTACTTAGATTGTGAGATCTTCTGGGTAGGGTTCGTCTTTGTGTTCTGCATACATCGCCTAGCACAATGAGACCCTGATGCAGGACGGGGACCCCTACCTGCTAACACAATAGAAATAAGCTTCAGTGAAGTCCGCAGGTTTTAAGTGATCTGCTGTATCAGGGCGCATATTGGCAACTTAATAATGAACTTTATTAAACATTTTCAAAATGTAAGACTCACAAATTATAAACAATTTCAGCTTAGTGATATTTGGCAAAAATATCTGTCCCCCCACCCCCAATAAGTTATTTTAAAAACAGCATTTGTTTCACTGCAAAGTCAACCCTCAGTGGCTAGAACTGCAAATATGTTTGTTTGGAAGAAATCAGTGGCTCTTTTTCTGTTTTGATTTGTTTTATGTATCACAGAAGCCTGAAAAACATTTTTTTTCTTCAAGTTATAATGTTAATTTGAAGGTAACCGTCTTTTCAAGGATTAATTCCAGCCAAGGCAATAACCATTATTTACCAGAGTTTGACACTTTTATCACTCATCATATTAGCAAATTTCCATTGAAAATGCTAAAATGGTTCGTCATAAGGCACATAACTGCTTTAGCTGTAAAAATGACCAACACAAGTGCCTGTATTCAAACATTAAATTATACTGTAATTAATAAAGACAGTTAAACTGTCTACTAGCAACAGCAATTTAGGTAACCACATTTGATCAGCTATAAATTGTAACTACATTAAAATTCCAGAAATATTAGCAATATGGATTACTTGATGGAAATAGGTGCTGATCACCCACACTCCTATTTTACAACGGAAGCACAGGTCATGTTGGCCACAAAACTGTGGGCGAAGATCAAGGCTGAGTACTTTTAATCTTGTGAAACAAGCAATTACAAATAGTTGCATCGATTTGTTAAAAAGCTTTAGGTGACATAAATTGTTTCCTGTTTAGCTTATTGCTCTGATACATAAATGTCACTGAGTATAATATTAATTAGGGGCATGGAACAACAAGGGTCGGCTGATATAGAGTACAATCAAGGATGTGTCAATCCTTTTATAAGCATTATGGAAAGCAGGATAAGCAGCGGCCTATTTACACTGTAGCTCTCCAGTCCTCATTTTATGTGATGACAAAAGAAAGTAAAGGAAAACTGTGTTTTAATATCTGAAGTAATTACTTCAGTACTAGTAGTAATGTTATGGTTTAGGATAAATTTCAGTGTTACCTTTTTTGTGTTCTTGCCACATAACATAAAATTCCACATATAGCGTCAATACAATCAAATACTGTTTATAAAGGCTGCCAGCTGCACAAGACTATTTTTCCCAGTGTATGGAAACTAAGCCCACATTCTAGTCTGGTGTGTGTTTCTGCACTTATTTAAAAACACACACACACACAAATGGGCTGTGCAGGTTATTTACTTAGCATAAATCAAATGTATCATATACACGGTTTCTTTGGATTGGCATGCGACTTAGAAAAATACAGAACGATTCTGAAAAAATCTGGAGAAAATTTATTAAATATGATTTTTGCTGTAATAGAATAGTAATGTAACCCAATGCTCATTTCCCATTAAGTGGATCCCTTTTTAATACACACATGCTTCTTATTATTTTTGCACTCATGCAAAAATTCCGCATTCAGAGAGTTTCCATCTCCTTAGGAATGTCTCTGGCAAAGGCACAGTAAGAAATCTTGAACTAAAAAAAAAAAAAGGCAGCAAATATCGAACAATAAAGAGATGGCCCAGTGCTGATGAACTATAGCAAAAGCCAGTGGTATAATAAATGGTAAAAGGCATTCAGCACTGGAAGGAGTACAGTAGAAACAATTATACTTTAAATCCTTCCTTCTCACTACCGTACCGTGGCACAGATGAAAATGTTTGATTTGCAACATAAAAGATTCATTAATTACCACTTGAATATTTAA